ACAATCTCTATAGTTAATACTGTTAAAGGTGTAGATCTTGCAAATGTCCAACAATTTGGGGTGCTTTCTATAAGGTACATGTTACAGAAAGAGAAGAAGTAACTGTGGCTCTTCATCTTTGTTAGAATTTATACTGCAAGTAATGTTGGCCTCATTCAGTATCTTTCTCTTTTTGTCAGGTATGCATTGTAGTTGCACAAAAAACATTATATTTTTATAACTTCAAAGATCCAGATAACCCAATTGAACTAGCATTTCAACAACGTTATGGCAACATTGTGTCTTACAAATTGTAAGTAACCACTAAAAAGTCTTTATCAGTGTTTCTCTGGAGTGACTGTTTTGGTCAGTTGCAACAAAAATGAGAGTACTGCCTGGCGGCTTAAAAAAAGAACACAGCAGAAGGTTCTGTGAACTGAAACCCACTTTGTCAGCCCATGGAAGTTTATTTCATAATTTTAAAGTGAGTTTTGGGTTTTGGTTGTTTTATTTAGTTGGATTTTGTGATTTTTTAAATAAAAGTGGTTTGAATATTTTACAAGCTAAAACGTAGTATCCTTGAAAAGAGATTTGCAATCCTGGTAATGAATTAGGTTAATTTTTAGATAATCCTTCTAAGTTTCTATGGTCACTTTCAATTCTTCAGCCATTTCACAATTTAAGATTGTCTCCACATTATTTCTCTCAATAGCTATAATGCCTGATTGGTTTTTGGGTTATATTTATTATCTTTGCAGGTATGGCGAAAATTATATCATGATTGGTTTTTCACTTGGCTATTTTGTGGTGATTTCAACACATGTTCAAGAGATTGGCCATGAGATCTTCCAAGCTTCTGATCATAAAGATTACCTGACCAGCATTGCAATATCTGAATCATTAAACAAAGCTGCATCATGTGGAGATAACTGGTGAGGCATAATATTTTCATGTAAGACCATTTAAATTACCATTGTCACAGAATCTTTTAAGTCTATGAAAAGGCTTGCCCTGGATTTGTGTGCCCTACAACATACGTAAGAACTGTATGTATGCAGAGTACTGGTTGTGTTTATTTCAGTACAGAGGGAGCAAGCAAACACACACACACACACAGACCAGATGAATGGAGATGGAGAAGACTTAGGTGCATGTTTGTTTGTTTATCTATTTATTTATATCAATATTTAAACTGCCAGGTAACTAAAGCCCTCTGGGCAGTTTACAATAAAAAATACTAAAATATACAATTTTTAAAAATGTATATAATATAATTCAATAAAATGCATAATTAAAATAGCATAATTGGAGTTTTACCCTCACTTCCCTCCTTTCTCAACATCTACATGAAACCACTGGATGAGGTCATCTGCCAGTTTGGGGTTCATGATCATCTGTATGCTGATGATTCCCAATTGTACCTTCCGACTCTGGGCCAGCCAAGTGAGGCTGTCAAGGTTCTGTCCCAGTGCCTGGAGGCTGTATGGGGTTGGATGGAATGGAGGAACCATTTCCAGCTCAATCCACCCACGTAACATCTCTGCTTCATGAGCTGTACTGGTTGCCAATTTGCTTCTGGGTGTGATTCCTGGAACCCCCAAATTATTATTGTTGTTGTTGTTGTTGTTGTTATTATTATTTTAATAGACTTGTCCCCCCCCCCCCCCCCCCCCCC